GCAGGGGTTTAGAGTTTGTTGTGTCCAGTTACTCCTGCAGAGAGTGCACTGTTTCCATCATCAGTGAGATGAGAGGGTCAAAAGAGCTGCCCCATGTACATAGGTAATTCCAAGCTATACATAGGAACATCCTTTCTAAAGGCTCCCATAAATGGCTCAATTTTCTTTTGTTCAGAGGGAATCGGCTCCACGCTAACAGTGTGGAAGGGGCAATCTTCACTGCTGGCCATTTTGTGCAGGCAACTGCCGCACCCACTGCTGCCTGAATAGACTACCTCTGCCATACAATGACTGCATCTGATAGAACGCAGTTACTGTTAGGCCGATCATTTTAACACCTGACTTTGATTTTTCAATCAAATTTTGTTGAGCCAGGTTGATGCTTGCAGGGCCAGCCACATCTCAAATTTCAGCTAATTCAACAGGAATCGCCTGCCTGTGAGGGCCCTAGAGCAAACTTGTCATAATCTGGGGAATTTCAAACTCCGTATATGAAAGAGAAATGTATAGGCAGAGTTATAGTGAAAATCACATATCAGAGTTTTTGAAGGCCCAGACATACAGATAGCTGAATTTACTGTTTGTGTTTAACTCTCAAGCTTTGTTCCAAATGAAAAGCTTGTCCCTTACCTCCCAAATCATTTAAAGCTGAACATCAGGCACACATGAAATTGCAGCAGTATGTAGTTTGCCCTACTGCTGATAAACTGCACAAAAAATATAAATTAACTGAAAATGCTTGTTTTGGAGGTTTAAAGTGATGGCCGCCTAACACCGCCTTTAAAGGCAAACTCCAAGCTTTGCTAGCAGAACACAGCCCTGTAGATGGTACAATGCCTTGAAATAGTATGCATACCCCTTGAAATTTTCCACATTTTGTCATGTTACAACCAAATATGTCATTTGTGTTTTATTGGGATTTTATGTGATAGACCAAAACAAAGTGGCACATAATTGTGAAGTGGAAGGAAAATTTTTTACAAACAAATATTTGAATAGTGTGGTGTGCATTTGTATTCAGCTCCCCTGAGTCAGCACTTTGTAGAACCACCTTTTGCTGCAATTACAGCTGCAAGTCTTTTTGGGGGATGTCTCTACCAGCTTTGCACATCTAGAGAGTGAGGTTTTTACCCATTCTTCTTTGAAAAATAGCTCAAGCTTTGTCAGATTGGATGGAGAGCATCTGTGAACAGTAATTTTCAAGTCTTGCCACAGATTCTCAATGGGATTTAGGTCTGGACTTTGACTGGGCCATTCTAACACATGGATATGCTTTGATCTAAACCATTCCATTGTAGCTCTGGCTGTATGTTTAGGGTCATTGTCCTGCTGGAAGGTGAACCTCTGCCCCGGTCTCAAGTCTTTTGCAGACTCTAACAGGTTTTTTTCTAAGATTGTCCTGTATATGGCTCCATCCATCTTTCCATCAACTCTGAGCAGCTTCCCTGTCCCTGCTGAAGAAAAGTGGGGATGGTGCATTCAGCGTGATGTGCAGTGTTCGTTTTCCACCACACAGCATTTTGCTTTTAGGCCAAATAGTTAAATTCTGGTCTCATTTGACCAGAGCACCTTCTTCCACATGTTAGCTGTGTCCCCCACATGGCTTCTCGTAAACTGCAAATGAAACTTCTTATGGCTTTCTTTCAACAATGGATTTCTTCTTGTCACTCTTCTATAAAGGCCGGATTTGTGGAGTGTATGACTAATAGTTGTCCTGTGGATAGATTCTTCCACCTGAGCTGTGGATCTTTGCAGCTCCTTCAGAGTTACCATGGGCCTCTTGGCTGCTTCTCTGATGAATGCTCTCCTTGCCCGGCTTGTCAGTTTACGTGGACGGCCATGTCTTGGTAGGTTTGCAGTTGTGCCATACTTTTTCCATTTTCGGATTGGTGGATTGAACAGTGCTCCGTGAGATGTTCAAAGCTTGGGATATGTTTTTATAACCTAACCCTGCTTTAAACTTCTCCACAACTTTATCCCTGACCTGTCTGGTGTGTTCCTTGGCCTTCATGATGCTGTTTGTTCACTAATGTTCTCTGACAAACTTCTGAGGGCTTCACAGAACAGCTGTTTTTATATTGAGAATAATAAATTACATACAGGTGGACTCTGTTTAATAATTGCGTAATGTCTGAAGGCAATTGGTTCCACTAAATTTTAGTTAGAGGTATCAGAGTAAAGGGGGCTGAATACAAATGCACGCCACACTCAGATATTTATTTGTAAAAAATTTTTAAAGTCATTTATAGTTTTCTTTCATCTTCACAATTATGGGCCACTTTGTGTTGGTCTATCACATAAAATTCCAATAAAATATATTTACGTTTTTTGGTTGTAACATGACAAAATGTGGAAAATTTCAAGGGGTATGAATACTTTTTGAAGGCACTGTATGTCGGTGATGCTACTTTCAGTTTATACAGCACTCACAGAGGGCACGTCTGTTAGTGAAGATTGTAGTTCAGCTTAGTCCAAACAAAATATTTTAAAGTGACAGCTGGATTTGGACTTTATTAAAAGCTTAAAACTGAATTCCTTTGTATAGGATTTCTGTATCATAACAAATTGTCACAAATGTAAAATATTTAATTTGCGTAATAATGAATTGAAGGCATGTCAATGCAAAATAAAGAAGAAAAAACATATGCAGTACATATCTGCAATATAAGTATTATTTTTTTTTTAACCACTTGCCCTCCAGAGGATTTACCCCCCTTACTGATCAGACCATTTTTTGTGATACGGTGCTGTGTTACTTTAACTGACAATTGCGCAGTCATGCAACGCTGCACCCAAATTAAATCTACGTCCTTTTTTCCCCAGATATAGAGCTTTCTTTCGGTGGTGTTTGATCGCCTTTGTGTTTTCTATTTTTTGCGCTATAAACAAAAATATTTTGAAGATAAAAAAAAATTATGACTTTTTGCTATTAAACATATCCAGTAAAATTTTTTTAAAAAAATCAAATTTCAACTTAAATTTAGGCCAAAATGTATTCTGCGACATATCTTTGCTAAAAAAAAAAAAAAAAAAATCCCAATACGTGTAAATTAATTGGTTTGCGTGAAAGTTATAGCGTCTACAAATGGCGGTATATATACTGGAATTTTTTTTTTTTTTGCATATCTCACCTTATCCCTTGTATTCCCTTTTAATTTGTTGGAGGACCAAGATTTGCATACCTGTATTCTACAGAATCGTCCAAAAGGGGTCGCCCTACTCAAGCTGAATTTCTCAACCAAAACGTAAGTGTTTATTCATTATTAAATTCAAATGTATCTAGTCCTCTAAAACAGTTTTTCCGCAATTTTTTTTCCAGTCGGGGTGCCCTTGCAAAGTTTATTAAGTCACGAGGTACCCCTGGCCAAGGCTTGGCTCATGTTACTGTGTGTCGCGGAACGCACGTGAAATCGTGTTCATTCCTGACATGCAGACAAATGCTCTGCTCTTTAGTGGTACCCCCATACATTGGCCAACGTGGGGTGTTTTTGGTGTGGTGCAATTTTAAAACTAAGGTCAGGGACGACTTTCCCTGCATTCCTGCGGGTAAGGCAGCCCATTGAAATGAATAGGCTGCCCTACACGCAGCCACACACAGATATGAACCAAGGGTCTGTTCACCTGTGAGGTTGGAGGGTGGTAAAACCATGCAATTGAGCTGATTTTACCACCACCAACTGCTCCCCCTTTTAGCTGCAGAAACATCAGCTGGGGATATACACATGCTGTTGCTGCAGCTGAAAGTACACCCCAGGTGAATGGAGTTGAACTACAACCACCCTGCAACTTTGTGCGCATTGCACACAGTTGTGGACAAACACACACACACCACACAAATGCCACACACACACACACACACACACACAACAAGTCCTTTCTCAACCTTTCAACACACAAGGAATACTTGCAATAACTTTTGGTCTTAGGGAACCCCTGCTAAAAAATCGCTATATATACAGCTTGTAATACATTAGTGTGATGGTCAGTGAGAAGAATGCTTCTTACACTTGTGGTCATTTTTATTATTTTTTTTTTTTTTTCATTTTGATTAGGGTAAGAAAATGTTTTTCTGATATGTGTCTCATTGGGGAGATTTCCCTAAACTTCCCCATAGCCAATGCTATGGAAATATAGTGACCTTTGTGACAACCATAACTAGTGTCCCCATTGGAAGATTTGCCCTCTATTTTTCTTCTGGGGGCAACCCATTATTTGGGATTGTCTTTTACTTTCACTTTCAATGATTATGGTAAACCTGACAAATCGAGAGGATGGATCTCCCTAGGGGCACAGACAGCAACAAAAACCTGACGTGTCATAGTCCCTCTGCACTCTATCTTTTAAAATAGTTTTGCCTTTAGTTAACTTTAATTATACTCTAAATCTTTCTGCTTTGAGGGGGCAGGCTCATTTATTATTACTCTGCTGCCCAGCGTTAAGCTTTATTCATAAACTGGACCTGTGATTTTATACTTTTATTTTTTTTTTCCCCAATGAGTCTCATGGCAGAATTTATAATTTGAATAATACAATTAGACTCATAAGCAATATTACTTCTTTTTCTTGTGTGGTGAGCTGTGATTTCTTGCCTTCCACAGAATTTGTATTACAAACACTACTGATGTCAAACTGCCAGAAGTTGTCTTCTCCACTTCCAATGAGCAACAGAAAATCACCACAACACAAAGCCTGCCAGCAAAAACTGAAGCCAAGCAAGCCACTGCAAAGAGAGAACGTAGAGATGCAGGTAAATTCAATATCCAAGACAACAAAGAGATTCTACGTGCTGCTTTTAACTGCCTGCCGCCCGCCATATAGTACAATGACGGGCGCAAGGCAGTTCTCTCGTTCTGGGAGGATGTCGTACGACATCCTCCCATTCTAAGCGCGCATGCGTGGCTTTGTGAGATTGCGCGGCGATCGGCGGTGCTCTGTGTCCCTTGGACACAGTGGATCACCGATCAATAGAAAGAGTCGAAGATGTCGGCTTGGTCATGTGATCAGCTGTGTCCAATCACAGCTGATCACATGTAAACAGGGAAATGCCGGTTATCTGCACTTCTCTCCTCACGAGCTGTCATGCTGACAGCTCGTGAGGAGAGGAGAGCTGATAATCAGCATTCCTCGGAGGGGACATGTACACAGATCATCAGGGCACTGATGATCAGTGTGCCCTGATGATCTGTGTAGCCCCAGCAGTGCCACCTGTTAGTGTCCATCAGTGCCAGCTGTCAGTGCTCATCCATGCCACCTGCCAGTGCCCATCAGTGCCTACCAGTGCACATCAATGCCACATATCAGTGCCCATCTGAGCTGCATTTTAGTGCCACCTATCAGTGCTGCCAATCAGTGCCAGTCATTGCCACCTATCAGTGTGCATCAGTGCCGCCTATCAGTGCCATATAAGAGTGCTGCCTTTCAGTGCCCATCAATGATGCCTGTCAATGCCCATCAGTGCCACCTATCAGTGCCCATCACTACAGCCTCATTAGTGACATCAGTGAAGAAGAAAAATCACTTATTTACAAAATTTTATAACAAAAACTAGGAAAAAAATATTTTTTTCTTTCAAAATTTTTAGTGATTTTTGGTTTGTTTAAGAAAAAATAAAAGACCTAGAGCTGATTAAATACCACCAAAATATAGCTCTATCTGTCACAAAAAAATGATAAAAATTTCATATGGGTACAGTGTTGCATGACCGCGCAATTGTCATTCAAAGTGTGACAGCACTGAAAGCTGGAAATTGGCCTGGGCAGGAAGGGGGTATAAGTTTCCTGTAGGCTAGTGATTAAAAGGGAAGATCAAATCATTTTTGGTCAATTTTGTTTTCTTTTTTCTTTTTACAGCTATATATTTAAAAAGTTTTAAATAAACTTTTAATACAGAGTGCTTCCATGACTGTTGTGCTTTGTACAAAGCATGGTGGATTTTCTAAGAAAGCCCAGCATTTTTTTTACATATACATGTAGACACAAAGTATGATACTCTGTTAGCGGAAGCAGAAGTGTTCCTCCTGTGACTCATTCATGTATGTGTGTCAGAGCGAGAGAGACGGACATCTTTTCAGGCTGCAACACAGACTATATACAGCTTAATAAAAAAGTGTGATGCTTAGGTGATTCTATAGCCTCCCAATCACCATCATTTGGATGTAAATGGTGGCAAAAAGATAAATTTACTGTATATTTATAAAGATATATTTTATGTACATATTTTTATTAACCTGGCCTAAAAGAAGTAAATGTAGACTTTCAAAAGTACAAATTTCTCTATATATTAGTCCTCTCTTTTGGTTTTATTGTTGAAGTGGAACTGAAGGCAGAATACTTACCGATGCTCCCAGGTCCAACACCCGTGAGCTACCTCCCCGGGATTTTCTACCCACGCAGCTCACTGTACGATTGCAGACAGGCTTTACTGCATGTCTCTTCTGTAATAAAGAACCTATTTGTTTTTTTTGCTTTTTTTTTGCTTTACTGTAAATCTGCAGCTGCACAGTGCCTAATATCTTTTCACTAAAATGACATCACTTCCCCCAACATAATTACACCATACGATAAAATGTGGAAGAAGTGGAACTACAAATGTTTTCCTCTTTCTTCATAAGCTGGTGTGAGACCAAGCCTTTTGTGTACCAGTAATAAACAGAGCTTGTGGGAGTTGTGGAAATGTTTTTTTGTTTTAATCACATAGTACAGGACATAGACTTGATATTCACAAACCCTCAGTTATACAGTGCCTTAAGAAAGTATTCATACATCTTGAAATTTTCCACATTTTGTCATGTTACAACCAAAAACATCAATGTATTGTGTTGGGATTTTATGTGATAGACCAACACAAAGTGGCACATAATTGTGAAGTGGAAAGAAAATGATAAATGGTTTTCAAAATTTTTTTACAAATATGTAAAAAGTGTGGTGTGTATTTGTGTTCAGCCCCCCGGAGTCAATACTTTGTAGAAACACATTTTGCTGAAATTACAGCTGCAAGTCTTTTTCGGGATGTCTCTACCAGTTTTGCACATCTAGTGAGTGACATTTTTGCCCATTCTTCTTTGCAAAAGCTCTGTCGAATTGGATTGAGAGCGTCTGTGAACAGCAATTTTCAAGTCTTGCCACAGATTCTCAATTGGATTTAGGTCTGGACTTTGACTGGGCCATTCTAACACATGAATATGCTTTGATCTAAACCATTGCATTGTAGCTCTGGCTGTATGTTTAGGGTTGTTGTCCTGCTGGAACGTGAACCTCCGCCCCAGTCTCAAGTCTTTTGCAGACTTTCTTCTAAGATTGATACAAATCAATAAGGGTGATTATTTAGGCGCCAGTGTAAACTAAACTACGTATTGCAGTGCTCCTTCAGCGTTATCTATAACTCTGGCTCCTCCTCTCCACTCCCTCTTTCTGTAGGGGTCCCTCAAGGTTCTGTCCTTGGACCCCTTCTCTTCGTTATCTACACCTCCTCCATTGGTCACATGATAAGCTCCCATGCCTTTTAGTACCATCTCTATGCTGATGACACACAAAATTAACTTTCTACCCCTCACCTCACCCCTTTAGTCTTCTCTCGCATCACTAACCTACTAAGTGACACATCGGCATGGATGTCACTCCACTTCCTCAAACTCAATCTTTCCAAAACTGAGCTCTTAGTATTCCCCCCAGCCCGTGCCCCCTCCCCTGACTTCTCCATCAAGATCAATAACACAATCATCATTCCCTCCCCTCATGCCAGGGTACTAGGTGTAATCCTAGACTCCTATCTGTCCTTTCACCCCCAAATCCAATCACTGTCCAAATCTTCTAGACTTCACCTCCACAACATCTCCAAGATACGCCGTTCCTAACCTCGGAAACCACTAAGCAACTTATTCACTCCCTTGTTATATCTCGCCTTGACTATTGTAACTCTCTCCTCATTGGCCTACCTCATCGCAGGCTATCCCCTCTTCAGTCTATAATGAATGCTGCTGCCAGACTCATCTAACTTACTAACCGTTCTGTATCTGCCATCCCTGTCTGCCAATCCCTCCACTGGCTTCCCGTTGCCCAACGGATAAAATTCAAAACATTAACAATAACATCTAAAGCCATTTATAACTCTGCCCCAAATTATATCAACGATCTTGTCTCCAAATATCACCCAAACCGTAATCTCCACTCCTCGCACAGCCTCCTGCTTTCTAGCTCCCCTCTCCTCCTCCCATGTTCATCTCCAGGAATTCTTCAGAGCTGCCCCCATCCTCTGGAACTCTCTACCCCAATTTATCAGACTATCGCCTACTCTGCTCACTGTAAGGCGATCTCTGAAAACCTATCTCTTCAGGGAAGCCTATCCTGCCCTTAGCTAATAATGGAATCTTCTACTCCTCCTACCAGTCCATCCCCCACAGTTACTACCTTTTGTACCACTAGCCCCTCCCTCTTAGATTGTAAGCTCCAATGAGCAGGGCCCTCCTAACCCTCTTGTATTGAACTGTATTGCTGCTGTATTTTCTCCCATTATATTGTAAAGTGCTGAGCAAACTGATGGCGCTATATAAATCCTGTATAATAATAATAGAATAGGTAGGCGGTACATTTAAATGTAGCGCCTACCTATTCTATTATCATTTCTTCTAAGATTGCCCTGTATTTGGCTCCATCCATAAAGGGCAGATTGGTCGAGTGCACGACTAATAGTTGTCCTGTGGACAGATTGTCCCACCTGAGCTGTGGATCTCTGCAGCTCCTCCAGAGTTACCATGGGCTTCTTGGCTGCTTCTCTGATTTAACCACTTCCATTCCGGGCACTTTTACCCCCTCCTGCCCAGGTCATTTTTAAGGTTTCAGCGCTCACACTTTGAATGACAATTGCACGGTCGTACAACATTGTACCCAAACTAAAATTTTATCATTTTCTTCACACAACTAGAGCTTTCTTTTGGTGATATTTAATCACCGCCGTGGTTTTTATTTTTTGCTAAATTAACAAAAAAAGACCGAATATTTTGAAAAAAAAAAACACTTTTTTTTGTTTTTTGTTATAAAAGTTTGCAAATAAATAATTGTTCTTCATAAATTTAGGCCGAGATGTATTCTGCTACATGTCTTTGGTGAAAATAACCCAAGTTAGGATGTATTATTTAGTTTGTAGGAAAGTTATAGAGTTCACAAACTATGGTATAGATCTGAAAATTGATCAATCCTGAAGTACTGACAGCCAATCTAATTTCTTGAGGTCCAAGAATGTCAGAATAGTACAGATATCCCCAAATGACCCCTTTTTGCAAAGTAGACAGTCCGGCATATTTCATAAGAGGCATGGCGAGTTTTTTGAAGTTGTAATTTTTTTGTCATTTTCTGGAAAATTAAAAAAATTAAAATGATTTTCACTATTTTTTTTTTTCTTTTTACATACTGTCACCAGTGCAGTACAGCATCATCATATAACTGGCATAGCGGTGATCAGGGACACTAGTGACAGTACGAAAAAATAAGTGTGTGTGTGTGTGTGTGTGTGTGTGTGTGTGTGTGTGTGTGTGTGTGTGTGTGTGTAATTTTTTTACTTTTTTTTTTTTTTTTCTCTTTTTTTAAAGATTTTTCTTTCCATATTTCACTATGACCAAAGTCGTATAATGTTACCATAGTAACATTGTACTAATTTGGGGAAGTGATCAGTATTTTTTATTTTTTTACACAATTTGCTTATAGCAAAGAATTACTTTGCTATAGGCAAGCATTTACTTGAATGACATTAATTCATTCAGGGGTTTTTTTTGTGTGCTTAGCTGTGATTTGGCCACAGCTAATCACATGACACAGCTGGGCTGTGATTGGCCCAGCTTGTGCATGTGACTGCTGTGACCATTCACAGCTAGACACACTTGTTTACAATGAATGGCATGAAAGGAAGCTATCCATTGTATACAACTGTCATGTGACCTGCTGTGATTGGTCGCCTGGTACTGGAAAGGGGGCCGGTACACAGATCTGTCATCGGCCGTTTCCAAGGTACACGGCTGGTGACAGATCGCGCAGCAGGCGGCCCTGCGAGCAAGCGCACTGAGCATGCCTGAAAGGACGCTCAATGACCCGGAGGGGCAAGGTGTTTTGCCGGCCACCTCTGAGCTATTGGCCAGGCGGGAACCGGTTAATGCTCTCCTTGACCGGCCTGTCCGTTTAGGTGGACGACCATGTCTTGATAGGTTTGCAGTTGTGCCATACTCTTTCCATGTTCAGATGGTGGATTGAACAGTGCTCCGTGAGATGTTCAAAGCTTGGTATTTTTTTTATAACCTACCCCTGCTTTAAACCTCTCCACAACTTTATCCCTCACCTATCCAGTGTATTCCTTCGCCTTCTTGATTCTGTTTGTTCACTAACCACTGGCTTCACAGAACAGCTGTATTTATACTGAGATTTAAAATACACATAGGTGGACTCTATTTACTAA